ATTTAAAAACAATCTTTTGACATGTCCAATCAACAAGGTATTATTTCTACAAATTCAAGAATGATATTTTGACGTGGTCATTTAACAGGGTATTATTTTTATCTGAAATAATCTTTTGGCATGCCTGTTTAATAGGGTATTATTTCTATTTGTAAGGAAGTAATCTTTCGACATAATCATTCAACAAGATATTATTTTCATTATTTTTATTTCACAATTTTTATGCTAAATTATAAACAAAGAAAATTTCTTATAAATTACTAAATTAAACAATTAATTTATGACAGGGTATTTAACACCTAACTGTTGTTTGTGAGCGTGAAGTGGTTCCTTATTGTTGATCAGGTCCTACGACCTCTTCTACACCAACATAAAATCAACATGTCATTTATTATTCATAACCAAATAATAAAAATCTCATTCATTTTAAATTAAGGAGAATAAAATTTTCTTTTTTCGACTCTTAATCGAAATTAACTTTCTAATTCTCCAACAATACATCCAATTCATCTAAAATCACTTTTTTACATTAACAAAATCCAAGACAAAATCCTTTTTCTCCTTTTTATATATGTCATGGCTGAAATCCTTACATAGAAAAGGGTGAAAAAAAAAATTTCTTATATATGTCATGGCTGAAATCCTTACATGGAAAAAGGTGAAAAAAAAATTTCTCTCTCTCTCTCTTTTGTTTTTTTATAAAATCTTTATTCATTCCATTTATTAACATTTATAAGCCTATACATTCCCACAATTCATAAACAATTATATTAAATTCCTTATTGTCCCAAATCTTCTCCTTTGGTCGAGACTAATAATTTAAGGGGGAAGGGACCTTTTGCTTTTTCCATTTCTAAATTAAACATTTACCTAATCATAATTCATACTTTATAATATGGTTCAAACATAAATTGCATCATTTCAATAATTAACATCATAAATCTTCAATTTCACATAATCATAGCAATTTAATTTCTTCATCAAAACACAAAATTATAACAATTAATCATTTTAAACATGTTCTTTAACTTACTTGGATAAGGATTTAAAGAATAAATGCAAGAAAAATTGAAGTTTCCTTTTTCTTCTTTTTTCATCCCTAGCTTTAGATTTGTTTCTTCAATGCTACCTCCAAGTACTAAATCACCTCTCTCATTGTCTAAGTTCTAATCACTCTAATTACACTTCTCCTTTTTTCTTATATATACATAGTAAAAAAACAAATAGAAAATCACACAAATTCTCTCATTCTCTTAAGGTTTATAGCCATCGGCTAAAAGAAGAAAAATTGAGCATTTATACAGTTTTATTTTTTTAAATTTTGCACATTGACCCCTTTTGTTTAACCTTTTCCAAATTTATCCCTATCCTTTCCTTCTCAATAAACTATCGTTTTATAAATTTTCTATTTTGTTTAATTTCTTCCCTCTCAAAGCTTACTTAATTATTTATTATTATTATTATTATTTGATTTTATTTTGGCCGGGTTAGATTATAATCAATTTTTTACATTGAAAGAGCCCAAAGTCATAAAAGGGTGTTAATCCAATCAAATGTGAGTCTAGTAGGATGTCAAACCCAATATATTTAGATTCAGCCATTAACTAAGCCCAAGTCAACATAGATCTAGCAAGATATCAAACATAATATATTGAGGTTTAATTATGAGCTGAGCCTAAGTCAACATGTGTTTGGCAAGATGTTAAATCTAATATACTTGGGATTAGTTATAGTTGAGCTAAAGAGATCACGGTGGGTTGACAAGTTATTAGACCTGATATGCTTGGGTTCAGCCACTAACTAAATCCAAGTCATTGTAGGTGTGGCAAGTTACTAAATCTAATATCTTTGGATTCAGCTACAGGCTGAGCCAAAAACATCATAAGTTTGTTGAGTTGTCGAACTTTTCTACTCTTCAAATTTATATATCTTAGGCTATATTTAGCATTGCAATCCAACCATGCTTTTGAAGATTTTTGAATTTTTTATAGTTTTAAATTATTATTTTTGTATTTTTAGATTATTGTTATGTGTTAATATAAACAAAATTAAAAATTAAAAATTATTTTAATATTTTTCCAAACAAAAAACACTTTAAAAATAAGTATCTATTACGATCTCAAAGAAACCAAGTTCTTAGAACATTAATCACACAGAAACAAAAATAAATATTCTTGTTTATAGAATTTAAGACTCTTTTATTTATTTATTATGATTTCTACTTAAAGTTACTAATTTAATTATTAAAGGATCTTTAAATCTTATCAATAGAAATTATTTCGTACAAACCGTGATTTCTACCATCAATTTTATATTTCATGGGCTAAAAAGAAAACAAATATTAACATTACCCACTATCAAAATATCCAACAATTTGCAATACATGCAAATTCTCTTAGAGACTGGGGAAGGCAATAGATTCCCATATTATATATTTTTTTAATTATATATACATTCATGCCCATGTAATTTCTGAAGGTAAATCTGACCATAAGAACGGTTTTGATAAGCTGATTATGTTTCTTTTTAGATGTTCTTTTAGGCTTGTGGTGACCACATATAGATTTACCAAGATGTTTAGAGTGTTTTCTAGATGTTTCAAGTTGAAAAATAAGTTGAAAATCAATTTGAAATTAAAAAAACAAATTAAATTGTTGATTTTTTTGGGAACCCCTGGTTGCCAGATTCTAGAAAAAGTAGAAGACAATCTACTGTCATTTTTGAAAAATAAATAAATAAAACGAACAACATATCATTTATCTTTTTAAGAAAAAATAAAAATAAACAAGCCAAACTCATGCACACAAGCTAGGATGGGAGGCTCACCTCACACGCTTGGGTTGTTTTATTTAATGTTCAAGGCACACGACTAGATTTTTTTCATTGTTGTTGTTTTATATTTAACTTAAATATATTTAATAAAACAAATCATTGAATGAAAATGAATCCATTAGTCAATATGCATATTTAACCTCCAAACTGTTATTTGTTTTTTTATATTTTTTTTTCTCTCAATATAAAATATATACAATTTCACTATTTATTATCAATTATTTTTTTTTATTAAACTCAAAGATAAAAGAATGAGTTTCACACATTTTTTATTTAAGTTAAACCTATCATGAATTTTTAACTAAAAAGTATTTTATATTAAAAAATCTATAATACACTTTATTGTCATGTAATTAAATGAAAAATAACCTTTTGAATAATTTTTTTTAAATACAATAATATGAATAACTTCTCCGGCAAATTTACTTAATTAACTCAAGTTTACTTTGTTTTGTTTTTTTAATTAAATATTAATTTTTTTTAAATTTCATCTTTTAATATTAAATTAATTTAAAATTAACTTTTCAATTGTTTTCATGATTATTCCCACAAGTTTTACAAATAATCCTAATTTATCCTATGTGGATCAAGTTTTTCTATCTCAATATTATTTAATTCATGATTAATTTTTTTTTTTAAGATACATTATGAACATTTTACTGTTTATTTTTTTTATTATTATGAGGCACGACATAAGACAGACCAACAGACTAGTATCAAATCTAACTAAGGCCATGTTTGTTTCCCGGAAAATAGTTTTCGAGAAACCACTTTCCAAACTTTCCTGTGTTTGTTTGCCATTAGAAAAGTTTGTCAACGGAAAATACTTTTCGGTCAACGGAAAATATTTTCCAGTCAACAAAAAATACTTTCTAGTCAACTAAAAATACTTTCTGGTCAATGAAAAATATTTTCTGACCAACAAAAAATATTTTTCAGTTAAAGAAAAATTTGGCTTGGTTTTCAGGAAAATGTTTTTCTTTTTAGCTGTATTTGTTTTCCAGAAAGTGGTTTCCGGGAAAACACTTTCCAAACTTTCTTGTGTTTGTTTTCCAGAAAGTGGTTTTTGAAAAATCACTTTCCAAACTTTCTTGTATTTGTTTGCTGTTAGAAAAGTTGGTAAACGGAAAACACTTTTCAGTGAAAGAAAAATTTAACTTGATTTTTAGAAAAGTGTTTTCATGAAAAATTTAGGAGGAAAACACTTTCCGGAAGTTGTGAAAAATTTAGAAATGTCATTAAATAAATCATTAATAAATTATTTTCCAGTCCATTTTTCATAACATTACCAAACACTGGAAAGTATTTTCCAATTTATTTTTCATAACACTACCAAATATTGAAAAATAATTTACTTTTCAGGAATTTATTTTTCTTGAAATTTATTTAAAAAAAAAAAATTCTACAAACAAACATATCCTAAGAAGACCGGCCATTTTCCACCACTAATCTGCCTAATGGAACAAGTTCTGGCACTTGGGGCCTGTACAGAACAGAAGAATATAGAACGAGTTGCAATCGAGTTGCAATTCAAACCAAACAAGGAGAGATGGAACAAATTCTGGCACTTGGGGCCTGTACAGAACAGAAGAATATAGAACGAGTTGCAATTGAGTTGCAATTCAAACCAAACAAGGAGAGATGGAACAAATTCTGGCACTTGGGGCCTGTACAGAACAGAAGAATATAACACGAGTTGCAATTGAGTTGCAATTCAAACCAAACAAAGAGTGTGTTTGAGAATATAATAATAATTATTTTTTAAATAATTTTTTATATTAAAATACATGTTAATAATATTTTTTTATTTTTTAAAAATTATTTTTAATATTAGCATATTAAAATAATTCAAAATATACAAACTATATTAAATTTTAATAAAAAAAATTAAATTTTTTGGAACCACGTTCGCAATAAACCCCTAGATATCCATAAAATATGATATGCCAACATTCTGATTACCTATTCCTAGATTTGACTAAGAACGAGGGCAAACAGTTCATATCCGTGTGGCAAGGTCAAGCCATGGCTACACGCACTCTGGTTCGGATCTATACACTACCTTTCTACACTACATTAATGACAGGAAACAGAGCTTTGGTAGATGCCGGCACAAAACTAAAAGAAAATATGCACCTCGGAGAATCTAGAGTAGGATTATCCACAACTCCACAAGTGCCAAAAGCAATAGCAGAAGTGGCACAGATTATAATGTTTGATGGTAACAAAGTTTTATGCTGTCAACTGAAGGAAGAAACAATTCACAATCAGGTCCAGATACCCTTAACCCTAGATTATTAATTGCAGGACTCTTAAGGAACATTTCCAACAGCATACACGTCTTGAAGTTTTCCTCCTGCCTCCGTATAAGACACCTGAGAAGTTCTAACCAGTGACCACAACAGCAACCGAAAACCATAGAAGATGTAACCCGGGAAACAATTTAATCCCACAAACTTTAGTGACCCAATTACCTTTTTATCTCTTTCTAAAACCTGTCCTTGCGCTCTCCAAAATAACCTTCCATTGCGATAAAAAACACAGTATACTCCCTTTCTACCAGTAAATTACTAAACTAACGTGCAAATATCCAACAAACCTTATTTCTCTCATCTAATTCGCTATTGATGCTACCGCAAGGTTGTTCTTTCACAATGTTATTGTGCAAATGGCAAAATATTTGCTGCACCACCTTGATCCAAAACAATATTCTTCATATGCCATCCATAGAACCGCCTCATTTTAGCTAAAACCCACAAGTTCATGTACACATACACAATGTCATCTACATTTCAGAAAGCTTTTGTGCTGAGAAACAATAAACAAGTGAGATGACAGATGGCATGGAGGTGACACTTACTGCTGCTGCTCAACATTGAAAAGCCTCCAATCCATTACCTAATTGCACTTCTGCCAATTGCAGAAGACAGTGTCAAATGCTAAATTTATTGCATAACCAAATTTATGTTTTGTTATGATCTTTAATCACTTCTTTGCACAAAGTTTCAAGCAATTATTCCTACATTGGAAACGGCAACCAATATCCATCTTTCCACAAGAAAGAAAATCTTGAATTCTTCAATTCCCATATAGTTTCAATAACAATCATAAATCATAATGGTAGCATCCCACAAAATTTCGTCTCTTATACAGAAAGATAACAGAGAGGAAGGGGCATAAAAACCATAATGGAGGATATGTAAACTATAATGCAGAGAGGCCCATAATGCGTGCCTACTCTAAAAAAGTCTCAGGTGGGAAAAGCATTTCAATATAACAATTTCTCAAATCTTCCTATCGAGATCCTAAAATTGATGGTTGAACCATGAACCAGCTTTAAAGCTATTAGTCCAAGTTACTTTATATTAATGAAGGAGTTCAGTTTCCCATTTTAGCAAATCAAAGGGGCAAGACACAAAAATACTACAGGCTAAGCTACACAAACTACAAGCAGTACACCAAAAACGATTAAAAAGTTTGATTTTTAAACAACAGTACAAAAAAAAATTAAGCTCTTTTTTAACCACATTAAAAGCTTCTACGCGGAAAAATTAAATCCCTACCTAGCAAATTCAATCAAACCCTGAGAATCTGCAGCTTGGTAGAGAAAGCAATGGCAACCCAATCAGGCTGGGAAGACGACCACTGCAACTGCTCGATTTCAGCACCAGCAGTATAAGCAAGAATGGGGTCCAATCCACCCTCAACAGGCTGACCCATGGAAGAGAGGTCCCAAATTAACGCCTGTGAATCATCCCCAGCAGTACAAATATGGCATGAACTATGCGGGGCCCAAGCAATGGCATTAACACTAGCATGATGCCTCTGCAATTCCACCACTGGAAGAGTTGGGTAGCGAATATCCAACACCACAACCTTCGCACTGTCCATGATTATCGTGGCCATGTACCTCGGATCCTGCTTGTTCCAACCCAGCCTAACCAAAGGCGTGTTGGGCTCCGAACTCTCGTAGATTATCGTTGAATGCTCCTTATCCCGTAAATCGAAAACCCTAACCGACCCGTCGGCTGAAACAGAAGCGAAAACCCCAACACCGCCCCATGCGATGTCGTATACCTCCTTGTCGTGGGCGATTAACTGTGTATCAACAGTCTCCCTCTCGATATCCCAGATGGTGCAAGTCGTGTCAATGCTGGATGTCCCAATTCGCCTTGGCTCTGCTTCGTTCCAGTCAAAGGAAGTCAAAGGCCCGCAAAATTCGCTGTTCTTGTTGCCATTTAACAGGCTTTTGAGCTCCACGCGCGGCTGCTCATCGTTTATGCGCCAGACGCGCAGGAAGTCGCCGGAGGTCGCGAGGAGGTCAGGCTTTTGGCACTCCTTGTCCGGGATGAATATGGTTTTGGTAGCTGGAAAAGGGTGCTCGAAGGACAGTTTCGGGTCGGATCGGATCTCTCCATTGGATTCGTCCAGCTGTACAATCTCGACCCGGTTTGGGTACTGTTCTAGGAAGCTGGCGATGGCGAGACGGTACTTCTTGTCACGACGGACGCTCCAGTTCATGGCGTAGATGTGCCATGGTGCCTCGTATGTGTAGATCTCTGATCGTTTCTGTTGCTCGTCCGACCCGTCTTGATTGGGGTCGCTGCCACCTCCCATTGTCTGTTTTATGGGAAGAAAGAAGAGCGGCAGAGAGCTGTGGTGAATTGAGCGGTGAGGAGAGGGGAATCGGCTTTTTTTTTGGTTACTAACTTGTATATATAATATATATATATTAATTTTATAAATTTTAAAATTAATAATTATATAAATTTTAGTAATTATAATATTTAAATTTAAATCTATAAAAAAATAAATTTTTTAATCTCAAACTATTACCATTGACTAGCACCTAAATGATTGAATTGGCTTCTTTTTACCTGCCCGTCCGGTAGTGGAAGGTCAAAATCAAATTTTTGAGATAATTAACAATTATAAGAAAAAACTAAGAGGTGAATCATTATTATTATTTTGTTGTAGATGGTATCGTGGAAGTTAAGAAATCCATTTTTTTAAATAATATTTTTTAAAAAAATTAATTTTTAATGTTTATTTAAAATTAATTTTTTTAACATTTTCATATCAAAAATAATTTTTAAAAAATTAAAAAATACTATTTTAATATATTTCTAGTTAAAAATATTTTAAAAAATAATTACAGCAATATTTTTTAAAACTGCCAAAATAAATATTACAGTAACGGTTCTGTCCTTTGATTATAGGAGAATTCAATTATATTAGAAGGCTTTTTTGGGTTTTCCACATTATTATATCCATTCTGATGTTAGCATGTCTTGCCTACACTTGCTTCTTTTTCATTTTGTTCTCCGATAGTTACCTTATGTCAGTGAGGTGGTTGTGTTTTAAAATGTATTTTATTTAAAAATATATTTAAAATAATATTTTTTATTTTGAAAAAGTTATTTTTAATATTAATATTTTAAAATGATATAAAAATAAAAAATACTAATTTATAAAAAAATAAAAAAACTAATGTTTTTTAAAAATATTTTTAAAATAAAAAACAAAACTTAAATCATTAGCCTGTAAAGAAAATGTGATAGCTAGTTTGTGGCAACGTCGAGGTGGACACTTACAAGGGATCCAAACTGCTTCTAGGAGTTAATTAAGATTTTGGTTAAAACTATATTTTTTTTAAATTTTTAAAAAATATTTTACTAAATGTTATTTTTATATATTTTTAATTTATTTTAATATACTGATATTAAAAATAATTTTTATAACAAATATTATTTTAATATATTTTAAAATAAAAAATATTTTAAATCACAACTCATTTTAGAGGGGAAATGGCACAATTGAGAAAAGATAATTATTAAATTTTAGGGCAATTAAAATATATATTTCAAAAAACTTTAATTTTCAAGATAGGCAACCACACGCAAAAGACAATCTTTCTCTATCGTCCTCCCTTCCCTTCTCACCCAATATTCCTTTTCTTCCTCCTCTACTGGTAGCGAGTACTAACCCTCCATTCAAGCTTGGATTACATTCAATTTCAAGCACTTTAACCTCTCATTTCTTCTTCTTCTTGTTCGAGAATTAGGGAAATTATAACACCTGATTGGGTGAATTTGATGAATCATTAATATCAATAAATAATATAAATTAATTCAAATAAATAAATAAAATTAAAATATTTAAAATAAATAAATAAATAATTTGTAAACTTATTTTTAATATTGTTTGATAATTTACATTCACATCATACTTGAATATTGTATTTATTTACTGGTCTAAATTCAAGAGTATTTTCATAATCTGATTTTTTATTTTTTTTCTTATTTTTCTAAAAATTCCAAAAAGAATAGTAAAAAATAAAAAACCAAATAATGTATTTTTTGTATTTTCAAATTTTTTAAAGAAATAAAATTTAAAATCATTAATTAATTTTATTGAGTTGACATTAACATTGTATTTTTTAAAAATATCTAAATATAAAAAAATAAAAATATTGAATATATAACCAAGAGTGTAAAAAAGAATAAGGGACCAAAGGTTTTTAGTTGTCTAAAAACCAAGTAATTAAAAGAAAAAAACAAGTTTATTTTTTAAAAAATAAATGGATATACCAAAAGAAAAATGGAGGGAGACAATATCCTAATAAAAAACAACATACACAAATCAAATTTCGTCCCTCTATCCCACATCTTTCCCCTTGCGGGGGGAGGGTAGGAAAAAAGAAAAAAAAAATTGCTTCTCTCTCCTTAAAACTATGAAAAAGCCATTATTTTTTATAGTAGTTATATTTTTTTAAATGTAAAATTTTTTATAAAAAATATTTTTTTTATGTTTTGAATTATTTTAATATATTAATTTTAAAAAATAAAAAAAATATTATTCTAATATAAAAAATAATTTAAAAAATACTTCCACGTAACCTTTTAAAAAACCAAAGAAAATCAATCCCTTTCCCTGATAATCGCGGGGGGGGTTCAGATAAATCGTGAGCTCCTTTTTCCATCACTTTCCCAACAGAATAGTAACCACCATCCATTCTCCTCCACTGTAGACGGCAGACCAGCCCCTATGACAGCAGCCTCTCCATATAGTGAAAGCAGCCCACACAGCCCTCTCTCCCTGAAACCAAAGAACTGCAAAATAATTAAGTCTCCATAGCCACCTGAAGTTGTTTCTTCCAATAGACCCAATTCCACCAAACAGCACCATCTTCAACCTCCTTCTCGCAGCCGACCTTCCTCTCCATAGCCTCCATCCATATTCGCCATAACCAAATGACCTCTTTTTCTAACAGCAATCACACAATTGACTATCATTCCTCTCGAAGCCACCGTCATATCAACAGCTAAAGACGCAAACACCAACCTTCTCAAACCCCCAGCAGGTCCTCTTCACACTAATAAACCCATAACAACTCCTCTCTTCCATTACAAGCCCCAAAACAGACCCACTTCTCTCTTTGCGCGCGCCGCTGTTAGCCATCAGGAACTCCTATACAACCACCAGACTCACCTCCCTCCTCCACAACACCGATCGGTGGTGTTGAAAACTAGCAGAGAGAGATAAAAGCAGATTTGAAAATAGAAAGAAGGAAATAACTGAACTTTTAAGTGACCAAATCTCTCTCTAGGAGTGGCGTTGCATGACATCTCTAGCAGGGAGGTGAAAAGGGAGTGGAGTTTCCACTAGGTGGCAGCTCTCCAGTAGCGGTGGCGGTGGAGGTGGTGCATGAACCCGCACCCTGGCTGCTAGTGGTAGTGGCGTGTGAGACCATACGTTATCACTATTTTAAGATTTCATTATTGATTTCACTATATCCTGAACATTTTATTGTAAACTCAAATAATTTTTGGATAAATCATTATAATATTCTGAAATTTAGCACAAATTATTTATTGTTTGGTATAATTTTTTGGATATTATTTTATTTGAATTTATATCTATATATTTGCCTTCATAATTTGAGTTAAATGGCAAGTTTATTTTTTAGGTTGTGATTGGATTTTAGGCATTATATGTTAATTCATAATTTATGTTTAGGTATGTATTGATTTATTTAAATTACCATGAAATTTGAATGAAGATTTAGGTGGATGTTTAGCTTGTTTGATTTTGAGTTTATAAGTAATAATTTATTTTGAATTGATATAATAGTTAAAATCATTTTAATAAAAATATTGTATTTGTGTCTTTTCAAACACGATCTTCAATTAGTTTTTAATTTTCAAAAGATAGTTGATATGACTAAAAGATTGATTTCTTCTTTGAAGTGTAAGAGTGTTGAAGTAATAAATAACTCGGTAAGACTCCGGTCGAATCACATAGAGGTTAATTATATAAATTATAAATAACAATAAAACAATAATAATAAATCCATAATAATAAAAATAATAATACTAAATAATAATAGTAGTAGTAATAGTAGTAGTAGTAATAGTAATAATAGTAATAATAATAATAATAATAATAATAATAATAATAATAAAGAAGAAGAAAAAGATAAGAGTTTTGATATGGAAGATTAATGTAAGGATTAAATAATGATAACAATAAATATCAAGGTTAAAGAATCCATTAATAGTATTTCAAACTTCACCTTAACAAAATAAACTTAACTAAAAATTATGAAAGAGAGAAACATAAATAAATAAGATAAGAATATAAATAAGATAAAAATTAACTAAGTAAAGAAAAGGAAATGAAAAACATAAACTATATATTAATGAAAACAATACTTAAGCATTACAAAAATACAAAGAGAGAAAGCAAGAGCATGATCTTAATCTGGAAACTAAGATGACTAAATGCATGGAAAATGCCTCTTTTTATAGATAAAAATTAAAAACTATTGATTTGATGACTAATTAATAAGCGGGTAGCCAATTCTTGAGTTGGTGGCAATCCTTATCTTCTCTTGTCTGAATAAAACGTCATTGATAATATCATAATTTGAACTAGACCTTTATATAAAAGTTATAGAAAATTATCTCAGCTTTATAGAAAAAAATTTGAAGTCATTTGGACATCTAGAACTCCAGATATGGGCCAAACACTAAACAATGTTCGGGCTGTATGACAGATTCAGACTTCTTCGTTCTTGTTACAATTTTAAAACAAGACATTCGCATGAAAGTTGTAGGCCTATGTCTTACATTTCCATCCATATAAAGCAGACTTAAATCTAAAATCTACAGTTCCAGATATAATCCAATTACCGAACAGTGTTCCGGTTTGGACTACACCAACTTCTCTTTTCTAACTTTGGCTATCTCTTTGTACTCTCAATTTTAGTACTTAAACTCATCAATCAATCATTTTATTTATATAATAGGCCTGCATTTAAGATCAATATTTACCATAAATTAAAGGTATCTTATATTATTGATATGTTATTATAAAACATGTTATAGTTAAAGAGTTATTGATACTTCAAGTGCAAAATAATGATATAAAACCTTGATAAAAATGCACTTTTTAGTACTAATCAGTAATAAAAAGAGTTTATACTATACTTGTTTGAAATACTATTAGTGGATCATCTAACCTTGATATTTATTTTTATTATTGTTTAATCCTCACATTAACCTTACATTTCAAAGTCCTCTTTAACTTGTTGTTGTTGTTGTTGTTGTTGTTGTTTGTAATTTACATAGTTAACCTCCCTGTGGTTCTAACTCGGTTTTGGTAAATTATTTATTACTTTGACAC